TCTTGCTACTTTTCAAGTAGCCCCTAGTGACTTGCCAACACTAAAGGACTTTGCCATATTTTCAGGAGCACAGCCACTAAAAATAGTCAAGCATGTGCCTACAAGATGGCTTAGTCTGTGCAGGGTTATAAAACACACACTGGACATGTGATTTGCTTTGCTGTCGTATTTTCTGAGTTGTGAGCAGCAAGCTGCCAAAATAGAATTCATTTAGTGATTTCTTCAGAGATGTAAGCTTAAAACTGGTTTTTCTGTTCTTAATTTATGTCATGGAGTCTCAACAGCAATTTAATTTGAAGCCTCAGAGTGGGGGAAAGCCAGCTACTGATGTCTGCAGGCTGGTTGAAAGTGTGCTGGCAGAGGGCTGGAGTCAGAAGCTGTGCTGGTAACTGCTTCAAAGAAGTGGTTGCTCAATCCTCAGACAGTCTGAGCATTTTCCTTCGGCAGGTGACATAAGAACTGGAGCAGAAGTCATGCAGATGTTGTACCTGAGAGTTATGTGGCCAACTTGGCATAAATGAACAACAAAATACTGCAGTGATCAAAAAAGCCACAATAACATTTTCTCCTTCAGAGAAATAGTTCATTTCTTTTCAGGTTTATACTTGAAATTGTGGAAAGGGACTCACTTTAAAATTTAGAAAATAAGCAGCAGAAGTTTAGTTTGAAAGAAGGTGACAGCTAAGAAATTATTTATGTCCTCCCTCCTCCCCTCCCTCCCTCCCTTCCTTCTTCCCTTCCTCCCTCCCTTCCTTCCTTCCTTCCTTCCTTCCTTCCTGTTATAATCATATGTGCTGGTGTTTTTTTTTTTAAACATACCAAATCATGAGCAAAAGGAGAAAATGACATTGTCACAGATGTACTCACATACTTCTAAAAACTGAGACGTCTCTCTAAAGAGTGTTAAACCTTGTATCTGACTGTTCTCCAGCCTTTATCCACTGAAACAGAAGCAATTTGTACTCCTGTGTATAGTGTTTGGAAATGGCTGCTTCTAAATCCACAAAATTTATTGACAAGAGAACACTGTGATAATATGGTTCCTATGATTCCAGGAATAAATGCACCCTTTCTTATATATAATAAATTAGCAAGGCACACCAGAGTTTATTTTTAATGTTAAGTTTTATCGTACAAATCAGTTTTGACAGGAACTTTTCACAAAAAATCTCTGCCACTTGATCATTTTAATTCAAACACCACTGTGGAAATCCTAGGGACAAAGAGAAGTGAAACCTCAAAAAAAAAAAAAATCAAGAAACCCATATCCTATATGCTAAATTGAATTAATATATTAGGTCTGGATTTTTCTGCTGCTTGCAAAAGTTTCTGGTGAAGCCCCTGTCCCTGCTCTAGAGCAGCTCTGGCAGTGCCACCTGGTGCTGGCTGCACCGCAGTCACTGCCACTGGGGCAGAAATTGCCCTCAGAAGCAGCACTAGTGTCAGCGGAGGCAAATTCCTGTGTTACTCTGGAAGTCAAGAAAAAATACCAGTAAAAGATAGCTGGTGAACTAACTTACATTTTTGAGCATCTAAAGGTTTTCTTGTTATGGTTATGTGTGCAGTGTGTATTAGTTTACTTTTTCTCAGTATTTTCATTCCAGTTCTTTTCTTCCACTTCACAAAACTTTCCAACAGGACAGAAAATCCTCAAAATGGCTCTTCCACATTAAAATCATAACTCTTGTTCTTTCTGCAAGTATGTCAGAACACCACAGTGTATTCTATCTGAATTTTTCATGGTAGTGGTTCTGGAAAAAAATTAAAACTAATAAGTAAGAGGTTGATTTCAAACATCTGCTAGTTCCAATGCCACTGTGGCAGGGGGAATCCTATCAAGCCCCATAGACTTAGGGGTCCAGCTGGAGCAGCAGATCCCACACAAGTTCAGTTTCCACTGGGAATTTAAAATTCCCACAACCATGTTCCTTCCTTTTTTGCCTTAGCTGCAAAAGATCCCTCCTCAGCAAAGCCAGTCTTCTGCCTCATTTCCTTCCCTTCCAACATTTAGGAATTGCCTTCTCCTGTGCCCTTAGGAGGTGGTTCTTACCATCTATCAGCACTGATGGACCCCAGGAGACCTTACCCACTAATTCCCTGCACAGTCTGAAGCCTGTCTCCTTGTGTCCAGGGTAGAAGTTTTGCTGGCACTCCTCCTCCTGTCAACAGATATTGAACACAATCACTTCATAGTTGCTGTGGCCAAAATGGCCACGAATCACCACTTCACTAATGAGACCTTCTCTGTTAACAAGCAACAAATCAAGGAGGGCATATTTTCTAGTCTCTTCCAACCAAAAGCATTCCATGATTCCATGGCCTTTAAAGAAAAAAACCCAAGCTCACTTGCTAGTTTGCATTTCCTAGTTGGGGTGGAAGGACTCTTTCCTAATTTTCTGTTTACTGAGTAGGTACCTAAATCTGCGGGAGTCATTCTGGACTCAATGGAGATTAAATAGGTGCAGTTCTGAAGGGAACAATCACATCTGCTTGTCAGCTGAGTCACCTGGTACCCTAGAATTACTTACTCCCACCCACTGGGCACAAAGGGAGTGCAGAGTGACCAGCCTTGTAAACCTTCAGGCCACAGGTGGCTGGCTGCCTGAAGCTTGATGGATGCTGGTACCTCACACCACACCAAATTGTGACAAGTGGGGCACAGACAACATGGAAACCTCTGCTTTAGTCTCTGCTTACAAAACTTCGCTCTTGCTGCTATTTCCTACTCTGTGAAATATTTTTTGCCCGATGTATCATGGGGATGAAATGCAGCCAGTTCTTTACTTTGAGGACAGACACAGGGAAACCTAAGGAGCTATTGCTAAAGTCCCAGAGGTGGCCTGTGGTAGGCACAACCTTCTCATTTAGGATCTTTCATAGAGGATCACAGAGGAAAGAAAGAGAAAACAATTTCTATTTCTGCTCCTTGTTTTTCCGATGTGGAATGTGTTTAGAGAATTGTTTACCTGGGGTGATTGCTTGATTGGATTCTAGTGAGGATTGTTTGAGCCTGATGGCCAATCCAATCCACCTGTGTCTACAATCTGGCGAGAAAGTCACGAGTTGTGACCTGGTAGTTAGAAAAAGTAGGTATGTAGTTTTAGTATCTCCTTTAAATAGTATATTAATGTATTATAATATAGTTATGATAAAGAAATCATTCAGCCTTCTGAACTGGAATCAGACATCACCATTTCTTCCCACTGGGTTCACTTGTGATTACAATAGTGGCCCATAGTTATTGTTTAATTTTCATTTGGAGCCTTCACATATGCAAGCACATACAGGGTGCAGGTGGTTCACACAATGCCATTTTTAGCATGTTGTGAGAAGACAAGAATGATATGATAGCTATTACTTGCTTCTACTTCTTATTTATTAATGTGCCTGATCCACGGGCTCTCTTCCTCCCACCATGCCTAATTTATGTGCATATAACATATTCATGAAAACCCAAAGTGTAGCATTTGCTGCCAGCCAGCCTACATTGAGTAAGTACAAAAAGGAGACTACATTACAGTGTGGGAAGTGTGGTATCACAAATGTGTACAAAAGTAAGGGCTCACCTCATAATTCATATGTGAGGGAACAAATATGACACAGCTAAGATTTTATTGTTAATTTTTTGCAAGCATATTCTAATTGTTAACAGGCAGGAGTGGTGGCTATGTGTGGTCCCTCTCCCATCTTCCACTTTTGGTGGTTGGAGGGTGTTGGTGAGGAATTTGAGCAGATCTTGATGTTCTTGAATCACCCCCATAAGCAGTCACAGAGATGGAGCTGTTAAATGAGCTAAACTTGCCAGCTCCCTTCCAGCTGCAACCACAGACCTGATGTCTCTCAAGACAGCATCCCTGCCTCCTCAGAGCCAACATATAATGTCTGATCAGAGCACAGCCCACTTCTCTGGAGTGCTATGACAAATCTCATGGCTTACCAGCTACAAACCTGGTCCCACTGCTGTCAGCCAGGGAGTTGCCCACATTATCTTTGACGAAGAAGATTGAAATAGATGTTGCTGATTAAAAAAGCCTGCTTTGATTCTGTTTTAAGTGTCTTGTATAGTGAGTTTTCCAATTAAACGTCAGAATCATAATGTACCATAAGCATTGTAATTGTAGTTACATATGTTTCTGCCTTTCAGAAAAGATTTCCTTATGTCTTGTAATATTGCATACTCAGTTTGAAAAACAAATCCTTTACTTTTTTTTTTTTCTGTGCATGGGGGGCAAAAATATCCTTCAGTTTCAGCTTAAGACTTTTTTGTTTGTTTTGCATTGAGGTCAAAACCTTTCAAGATTAATTTTTTTTTTAGTAGAAAAATATAGAATTATAAAGGCAAGGCATCATAAGCCAGTACTAATGGCCAAGAAATTTAATGGTATTTTCTAGCCTGGAGATAAAGCTAAAAGCCAAAAAAGAGGTTTTCTCTTCAGTGGTTACCTTTGATTTTTAAAGAGCCCAATTAGTTCTAGCCTGACCAATAAGCACATGAATAGCTTTGAGAAAGCTGGTGAAGCTTTGGCTGTCACATTGAAATACACTTATGAACATATTCCTGCCTCTTGTGGTTTTATGGTTTTCAGCAATAAGCCTCTTAAATTCTGTTATATTTTTGCAAATTATACAAAAAAAAATGTGCAGAATACTTTTCTTTCTTAATGTCAAAAAGATATAATAATCAGAATGTAATCTGATGTGGTGTGGCAGTATGAAACCAGTCTTCCAGAAAATTGATTCCAGCAAGCAGTAGTCCTGGAAAGAGGTTCTAACCACCCCTCCATTCTCTAGCTGATGTCAAAGCCTTTTCAAGATTTAAATGGAGAAATTATCAAACACAGTACTTTTTTTCCTTTTCACTTCCACTTCTTTATTTTCCTAAATGAAAATGAAACTAATTGCATCACTGAAAAAAAAATAAGAAAAGCAAAAGTAAGTAATATTTGGTGTCCCTGTTGTACATATTAGAAACTTTAATTGAAACTCAGAAAAACATTTACCTTTTCAATTTTTGGTCATGAGAGCAGTGAATACATTACAGGTCCTGAACAGCAGCAGTCTGGCTGTAGGCCACACGCCCACAGGACTTCTCTGAATGAAAAGAAAGAACAAAAAAATAGTTAAAAGAAGAGGTAAGTATTGTCTGAAATGCAAATGCCAGTGCACAAGCTGACTTCACACCTGAATTATCCTGACAGACATCCTCTGTCTGTGAAATCCAGAAACAGGATGTGACAAATGCATGGCATGCATTGATGTGACTCAGAAACAACACTTTGGCCAGAGTTTCATGTTCCTAACCTGAAACATGGGCTATGGAGGTATCATTGTTGAGAATCAGGTATCTTCTTCCACCTTGAAGGGAAAGCCTCCAGTTAAATTACATTTAGTACATGGTCTGTGGTTTTTTTTAGCTCTGAAGGAAGAGCTTGAGAGAGAACAACTGTCTCTTGAAAGGCTGCAGATGTATAGTCACCACAGATATAACTGCTTTAAGCTGAGTTTCTTCCTTCACTAAAGAGAAAATAAGGGCAAAGGTGTGTAAAGGGAAAGTTTACACATTCTTCCTTGAGTTCATCGTGTTTATAAAAGAAAGGCAGAGCTTTGTGGACTGCGAGTCTTGGAGATTCTGAGAACATTTGTTTTATATGCTGATCCAAACGCTTGCAGTTATGGTATATCTATGCATTTCAATTCCATCAGCATTCATAAAGCAGCTAGACATCATCCAGAGGACTGAAAAACATAGCTGAGTGGAACCAGGACTGTTCTTTGACATAGCTCAGGGGTGTTTTGAAAGACTGAAGTGCTATCATCTTCTTCACAGCTGAAATGCACAGGTGGTTCACTATATGTATATATACATGTATGTATATGATGGGCAGACAGCTCAGTACATTTAGATGTGAATATTAAAATGTCTGTTTCAGTGTTAAAGTTATTTCAACATCCACTTGAAGGTATTGCCATGAGAAATTATGTGAGGAAATCAGCACAAGCAACTTATATCTCATGTTTAAAACCACATATAGAAGCCTTAATTATATTTGCAATATTTACACTTCATATCATGCTTACTGTGAATATTAGACATTTAATTGACAAGAAAAAACATTTTACAATGGGAAAATCAGAAATTTACACAGTTAAGTATGGCAGACCAGAATCTACATGCTTAATATTTTCTGTCTTATTTGGCCTGAGTTTTGGTTGAGCCACATTGACATGTAGTGAAAAAAATGAAGCAATTGTAGTTAGACATGAAGGAAGATCCCCTTACACATATTAACAAATAACAGTACCAAAATATATGCTAGAGAAGTCTTATTATTCTCTGAAAAACCACTCCTTTAAAACTAATTTTGTTTTTACTGTACTGAACCTGTGTGCAACAGAATCAGAATGGCATGAATGACATCATCATTGCCTGACTTTCCCTTTCTTTTTCTGTGGTCACTATCTGTGGAAAACTGCCTTGCTGCCAATTTGTGGACTTGTCCATGCTCCATAGACAACAAACAGTGCTGAAGCTCAAAAATTGCCAGATGCTAGCCACAGGCCAGTGACCAAGGTGGCAGCTGTTACCTGTGCCAGGGGTTTTCTTTGGTCTGCAGGCAGGGAGCAGAAGGTGATAACCCAAGAGGAGGCAGAGCCCTTGCAAAGAGCGTCTACCCACCTTAAAGCGGGCCTGCAAACGGAGTTCAGCTCACCTGGCATCTCCACTGAGCTCTGGATCTCTGCAAAGTGTCTGCAATGTACAGTGGGGAGAACAGGGTGTGCTTCCCCTGCTCTTTTGCGTTCTGAGGGTCCTGTCCATCCTCCTCCACGGCCTGAGCGAGCTCATGCGGGGCTCTCAGGGGCGCGCCCGGTGCGGGGCAGGGCTGGAGCCCGCGGCCTCGGTGGTGTGGGGCAGGTCCGGAGCCCCCCGGCCGTCCCTGGCTTGGGGCAGGGCCGGAGCCCGCCGCCCGTAGTGCGGTGCGGGGCAGGGCCGGAGCCCCCCGGCCGTCCGTGGTGTGGGGCAGGGCCGGAGCCCGCCGCCCGTAGTGCGGTGCGGGGCAGGGCCGGAGCCCCCCGGCCGTCCGTGGTGTGGGGCAGGGCCGGAGCCC